GTATGGAAGCCTGTGTAAACATACCTAGTGTGTGTGTGTAAGCCTGTGTAAACACACCTAGTATGTGTATAGACGCCTGTGTAAACACACCTAGTATGTGTATGGAAGTCTGTGTAAACACACCTAGTATGTGTATAGACGCCTGTGTAAACACACCTAGTGTGTGTGTAAGCCTGTGTAAACATACCTAGTGTGTGTATGGAAGTCTGTGTAAACACACCTAGTGTATGTATGCAGTCTGTGTAAACACACCTAGTGTGTGTATGGAAGTCTGTGTAAACACACCTAAAGGTGCTAATGTGGTGGAGAAGGAAATGAAGCAGGACATAACCTTTAGGAGGTGACAGAACACTGCTTTAAACATTTTATATGCAGATTTTTTATTTTTAAATCTCTAGTAAAACAAACTATTGTTATTTAACTGGTCTTCACTTTAAAAAGCACGCCTTATTTGCAGTTTTACTAATGGGAATGTATCTCATCTAAATATCAACTAGAAAAAATTGGGCCCAACTCATTTTTAAATAGTGTGTGTGTGTGTGTGTGTGTGTGTGTGTGTGTGTGTGTGTGTGTGTGTGAAAGTCAGAGAACAACCTGTAGAGTTGGCTTTCTTCTTCTATGTGTGGGTCCTGGAGATCTAACTGGTGTTGCCAGGCACCCTTACCTACTGGGTCATCTTGCTGGGCCCCCAAACTCATTTCTAAAGGAAGAGACATTTCAAGAAACAAAATTCCAGATTAGTTTCTTCTACCTAAAAACAGCTGGAGGAATAAGCAAACACAGGGAGCCAAAGCCATGCTTCTAGTTGGTGATGATTTCTCTTTGGTCAGGTTATTCTTTGTGTGTTCAAACAAGAAAGACCGTGATTATATCTCACACAGGTCAGAGATAATCAGGTGTGCCTATAAGCACCTGGTTCTAGTCCTTAACCTAACCTGCAAATACAAACATACCAGGAAGCAAAAGAACCCATAATGCATTGCTGAATCGACCGTTACAAACCGTACTGATGACATAGTTCCATTTACCAGTTACCCTTCAGTCTATGTCCCCAAGAAAAACTCCGTAGAAATAGGTATTTGGGAATTACAAATGAGCTCTGCAAACATTTTCGTTCATTCTACACACCCAAAACTTTCTATTTTAATTGTCATATAAATGTCATTACCTCTTTGACAGCATTGAGAAGAACAAGATTTAGTGAAAAGGCAGGGGTGGAGGGAAACGTCTTTATAATGCACATGATGCAGAGAACATGAAAACCTACCTCAGTGACAAATAAGCTCTGTGCCTCCTCCTCTGCGTTCGAGGGGACCGTGGACCGTACATACCGCCCCTGCCGCCTCAGGACAGCCGTCTGTGAATAGAACACAGGAAGAGCTGGTGAAGACTGAGGGCCAGGCTAACTGCAGCTGAGGGCCCGCAATGGCACCAAAGCCTATGAAACACCCCACTTTCCCCCGGCAGGTGAGGACAGCTGCCTCCTCAGGTCACTCACGACAGATCCAGTGACATGTTGAAGTTCCAATGCCCAGGCGAGGTAGCATGGCAGGCTAATTATCACTAATTATTACATGAATCTACAGACCAAGAAAGCTATTTCTTGCCTCTGAAGATAAGAGCTATTTTTGATGCAGGAGATTTCAGTCTTACACTTTTTTTTTTTATTTTATTAGCATAGACTTAAACATTTGCTGCTCAAATTCCAAAAGGTCTTTTAATAAAAAATCTGGAGCCTGATATTGAGGTAAATGCTGAAAGTTTGGAGAGACAATGGAACAAGTCACAACCACCACCTCTTACCTCACCAACTCCTCAGCCTGAAAAAGCCTTCTAGCCAAAAGGCCTCTAGCCAAAAGGGGTTCCTCAGCTGAAAAGTTTTAGTTCCTGTCTCCTCATGCCTTATATACCTTTCTCTGCCCACCATATCACTTCCTGCCTCAACCTCTCTAGTGCTGGGATTAAAGGTGTGTGTGTTCCCCAGTACTGGCATTAAAGGTGTGTACCACCACTGCCAGGCTCTGTTTCCAGTGTAGCCTTGAACTCACAGAGATCCACATGGATCTCTGCCTCCCAAGTGCTAGGATTAAAGGCATGTGCTACCACTGCCTGGCCTCTATGTTTAATCTAGTGGCTTGTTCTGTTCTCTGATCTTCGGGCAAATTTTATTAGGGTCCACAATATATCACCACAGACACTGACTAAAAATAATGGATTTCACTATGCTATATTGAAATGCCACCGAGGTATGTATACACCACTACTGTGATTGTGTTCAATCTCCATATGTATACACCACTACTGTGATTGTGTTCAATCTCCGTATTTGTACACCACTACTGTGTTTGTGTTTAATCTCCGTATCTATACACCACATACTGTGATTTGTTCAATCTCCGTATGTATACACCACACACTGTGATTGTGTTCAATTTCCGTATGTACACACCACACACTGTGATTGTGTTCAATCTCCGTATGTACACACCACACACTGTGATTGTGTTCAATCTCCGTATGTATACACCACACACTGTGAT